CGATCCTTGGTTGGGATATATTGTGGCTGTCTCACAATTTCAATTTAATTTTAATTTTGACTTATATATTTTACTATAAATTGAGATTGATTGTTGTTTTATGATGAGTTAAATATTACTAATTTTACTTTTGCACTTGAAAATGACCACAACCATATGGTCGAAACTTCGTGAAATTAAATAAACGATTTTACCTGCTAGTTTGGTCAATTATTTTCAAAATTTATAATTTCTTCTTTTAAAAATATACAATTACATTAAAAATATTGTTATATGTAAACCCCAAGGCTTATAATAATGCAATACACATATTTATTTTATATGAGAGTTAAACAATTTTAGTTTTGATTTATATTGACAGTATTCTGAATGAGAACAAGAACACGATAAAAGAAACTGAAGCACAATGTCAGATACTGACTAAATTCAAGGTTCCGAATAATTCTATTACATTAGGAAAAAATACATAAATCCTTAAAACTCGAAGTCTCAATAAAGGACATATATATATGTTTTCTCTACTTTTTAAAAGAAATCTGTATCTTTTCTTTCGTTTATATGATAGTTGAATTCATTTTAATAACTGTAATGAATAATTATAAATTAATAATCTTTTGATTCCTTTAAAAATATATTTATTTCACAATTAATTAAGAAAAAAATTTTTTTTTAAATGCAAGAAATACTAATAATTCTATAAATATTTAACGTAATAAAATTGGCTGATATACTCATATTTTGTTTATCGAGTAAGAAATATTTTACAAATAGTGTCATGAGAAACCATAGAAAAATATATACATATTAATACTTTGTAATTCTTAATTTCAAATTTGTGAAAATTCATTAAATTTTTACATTTTTAAAATCATATATGACATATAAAAAACATAAACATATAACATAAAACTAGAAAAGTTTTGTTAAACTGCAGTTTTTGAGCTATTATTGGATGACCGATTTTATGAAAACCTGATCCCATAATTTATTTATCTGTTCATCCATATGAAAACTATTTTTGCATTGTATCGCTTGTTTTACAATTATTTACATATTATTTTTAATTTAACAATGATAAAAATGTTTCTCGTATACTGTTATTTTGTATATATTAGAAATGGCCTGCTTTGATAAATTTTATTATACGAGTATTGTATATACAGTGCGTGAAATCTCCATAGTTCCTCTAAATGATTTCGAAGTAAAAATATTCGGTTAATCGAGTAGTCCCCTGACTTGAACCCAATTGAAAACCTTTGGGGAATATTAGTCCGGAAAGTATACGCAAATGCAACGCAGTATGCTACAATTTCAGATCTTAAAGATGATATAAGACAAGTGTGGGCTAAATAGAAATCGCAATCTTACAAACCTTAATTGACAGTATAAAAAATAGAGTTTTTGAAATTATCCGTAGAAATAATGCTCATACACATTATTAACATGTAATTTTTAAACAAAACATTTTGTTCTATAGAGTTAATAAAATAATATATTAAGTGGAACTATGGAATAATTTTGCCCTATCCTCTTACTACAACTATAGATATTTTTAAATAATTGTCTGCATAAAGACATATATATTTACCATAAAATTGTTTAAATGATATAAAACTATAAAGTCACCAGATGATAATTAAAAAATAGTAATAATTCAATCGACCAACTCTGGCAAATAAATAATTTTATTGAATTTTCACAACGTTTCGGCCGTGGGTTTCGGCCCTTATTAAGTGCTTTAATATAATATTAACAATTATTAGAAAAATAAATATAAAAATAATAAACTATATAGAAACTTTCACACGTTAATACGCAAACATACCTATGTCCTTAAATCAAAGTAAATCACAACTGTTTTAAAAAACAAAAATTCAATCTTAGAATATGACATCATATAATAACATGATAGTATGAAACGAAATAACTATGTTATCGTGTCGATTTCGAGGTCCCTATATACTCACTATTTTGATCAAACTAAACGACCTTTATTAGTTTCTCGTAAACATTATTTAGATTATCCGTGTCTTTTTGTAAATTAATTGTGTTGTCAAATTTTTAGATAAAAAACATCGCGATTTCTCATTTACTTACGTATTTCTCATGATGTAAAATTTCTGGAGCAGATCAATCGAAATCATGACCATGATCCAATTTATGATTACTTATGACTGAGTAATTACTATTGTGTACTTTAAAATTATTAAAATGTTCTTTTATACGTGTGCCTAATTGTCGTTTAGTTTGACCAATATATGATAAGGAACAATTTGCGCAATTAATTTTATATACTACTCTTATATTTTCTTTTAAAGGTAAAGGATCTTTGACGCGTCTAATTAATGTATTTAATTTTTTCGGTATGCAGTAAACGCTTTGCATGCCAGTAAATTGTTATAATCTCGAAACATCCTTACTAAGTTCTTTGACATACGGTAAATGTATATAATAGGGTCAAATTTTTACTAACTGAATTATCGTTATCCACATTGCGATCGTCATTATTTCGTGTCTTAAGCAATTTTAACCTATTATTCACAAACTTATTAATAATATCCGACGAAAAACAATTATTCGTCAATATCGATTTTACTTTAGAGATGTTCTTTTGATGAAAACAGTCGTCCGATAATAAAATTGCATGATCAACAAGACTAAAAATGGTATTCTTTTTGTATTTAAAAGGATGATTAGAATGATAATTAATATATCTACTCGAGCAAGTGGGTTTCATAAACCAATCAGTTAACAATCTATCATTATGTATGATCACATGGTGTTCAAAAAACTAATCGCGTTATTACTTTCAATTTCATGCGTAAATTTTAATCTCGGATGGTAATCATTAAAAGACGACACAATTTCATCAACACCCTTCAATGGGATGATCGTGAAAATATCCACATATCTGTAAAGGGTGGAAATCGGGAATTCCCGATTCATCCGACTTTCGGACCAATATTTTTCTCGTCTATTTCTTTACAGGGGAAGTTACGAGAGGAACAAGGAGAATTTCTGAGATCCCAACCATAAGATTCAAATTCCTTAGTTTCCAAATTGTTTTTCTTATTTGTCGTAATAACATCGCGTGTGGCTCTATTGGCCGAGATGAAGGAGGTGTATTGTGTTAATATATATATGTATATCGGCCATTATTAAATAAATTCTTTCTCACAAAAAAACGGATTTAACGAACAATCTTAATATAGTTATATACAAACGATGACTGAAGCAGAATGTCAAATATTGACTAAATATTGTACTTTGTTAGAAAAATAATTAAAACTTAAATAAAAAATAATTAAAGTCAATTTTGCCAAGCGACACATTATATGTTTCTTTACATTTTTAAAGAATTCTGTATGTTTCTCTTTTGCATATATGATATTGATTTCAGGTCTACATATAACAATGTAAAACTTATTAATGATGAATTAAACTTTTAATCTCACCTAGGTGTAATTTTTTAAAAATGAATTCAAGAAAAATTTTTTTAAAAAATTGAAATAATCGTTAAAAATAGAGATGGAATATTAATACTATAAACACACTGTGCGCGACGGAAAGCAGGATAGGAAGGTCGGAAGCGAGACGATAGATAGACACTACACTCGACACACGCGTATCGTTAACAAAAATATATTTCAACTATTAACACAAAATACAATTGTTTAACCGCACAGAATTTACCAAAAGATAGCCGAGTCGAACGTATTAGAAATAAATACAATAAACGAGAGAAAAGCCGGGTCGAAAATAAATTACTGAATGTCCGCAAGCAACGGTAATTAAACGTGAAAAACGAAAAAGACAAGCGATCTTTTTCGTAAAGTATAAGCACACTCTTGACGCGACAAGCAATCGGAAAAGAGCGCCGGGGTTACGAGAGAGGAGGTTTATATAGGCCTTATTTTCTGGAATATTCGAGAACATTTTTATTACTCTATCTGTAGGTTGAGGGCGAAAGAACATTCGCTGTAATTATTTACGTGGCAATTTATTCCCGCAATTCGTAGTTTTGTTATTATTGGGAACTAAATTGTATCTCCTCTCGCGCGACCGCGGTGTTTACAATTATATGTGATTTGACGTAAGCGCTTCCTTTTCGCAGGCGCGGGGTATACGTATACCTGTGCGGCCGAGCGCTATTTGAAAATAATATTAATATAAAATTAAGCATGATGCATGTTGCATGTGAATGAAAAGACTGCATGAATTTTAATGTAATAATGTTTTAAGACTTTTCAGCTTTCGTTAGACGTTCGATTTTCGAACATCCCGCCGCCTTGCAGTATATCTGCAATCGACTAAGTAGTGCGAGAGAGGGGGCGCGCGCTTGTTCACGCGCTCGCGAGTGTCGGACACGTGGAGTTCACGTGCTCCGACTTAGATCGCGAAAGGAATGCTGAATCGGTCAGTTGTTTATTGCGAGCGTAGCAGTATAGCCGCGTGTCGGTTCTTGTGTCGCAAAGACCGGGCATTTTAGATAGTTGAATCAATCGTGATTTATAATGAGGCGAATAGTTTGGTGATGAGAATAGTGCAGCGATGAGAGGGGTGTAGTAATGAGAAGAATGTAGTGATGATTGATGTGACAGTATGCTGGTGATGTGAAAGTGCGCGTGCAATTGATGAGAGAAGAACGATGAAGATATGTGAAAAAAAGAAAAGAATGATGTGAGCCACTTGACGCCTGATTATCGCGCAGTTTCGTTGTCGCCGCCCAGGAAAACAAGTTTACTGACGAGGCGCGTTAAATTCGTACTCGCGGTACGGATATCGACTACGCGCACGTGGCCGTCGGATCCGGGGTGCAATCGAGTGATGCGCGCGAGCGGCCACCGCGTTGGTGGAGTGTTTTCGCTGCGGAGTAAACACAGCCGACCGACGCGAGCCTGCTGGTTGACTCGGGACCATTTTGGCCGATGGGCCAGCGTGTGTAAGTATTCGCTGGACCACCGGGACCAGAAATGGTCCCTCATCTGTTGCAGAAGCTGTCAGCGTGATAGTTGGGCCGACGGCTCTCGTTCGAGTGACGGTTCCGGTACTGCGGAGAGAGCGGAACCGATCAAGAAGTGCCCCGGTGTGAAAGCTGCTACGTCCTCAGGATCGTCGGACAAGGGCTGCAGCGGTCGAGAATTGAGGCAAGCCTCTATCTGCGAGAGTAGCGTCGCCAGCTCTTCATAGATGAGGGTTGCATCACCTATGACTCGTCGCAGATGGTGCTTCATAAATTTAACCGCGGCTTCCCACAAGCCGCCGAAGTTCGGTGCCGCCGATGGATTAAAGTGCCACTGGATTTTCTCCTGTGCGGCGAATGCGGCGATGCGGCGTCCGTCGGCACTGGCGGCGGAGAAGAGAGCGCTTAGCTGCCTGTCAGCACCCACGAAATTGGTACCGCAGTCACTATATAAGGAGATGCAGACCCCTCGCCTTGAGATGAGCCGGCGCAAGGCTGCGATGAAGGCGTCGGCGGAGTAGTCCGAGGCTACGTCGAGGTGAACGGCTCGGGAGGCTAAACACACAAAAACTACAATGAACCCTTTAGTTGCTTTGTGTCCGCGGCCCTTCGAGGTCCTCAGCCAAACCGGACCGGCGTAGTCGACGCCGGTGTGCAGAAACGGCCTGCTTGATGTGACCCTTGGCACCGGGAGATCGCCCATGAGAGGCTGTGGGATGGCGGCTCGCCATCTAGTGCACCTTATACATCGGCTGATGTGTCTTTTCACCAATGACCGACCTCGAGGGACCCAATACTCCCGGCGCAGGGAGCACAAGGTCATCTGAGTACCGCCGTGTAACGTCCGCTGGTGGTGGTCATCTACGACGAGGAGAGTGAATGTCGACTCGCTGGGCAGTATTGGCGGGTGAGTGGCATCGTACTGCAGGTTAGCGTTTCTGAGGCGCCCGCCGACTCGTAGAAGTCCCTCGCTGTCCAGGAATGGATTCAGTTTTTGCAGGGAGCTTTGCGACGGCAGAGGCGTTCTATTTTTCAGCCTTCTAATTTCGTCTTTAAATATTTTAGCCTGGATCAACCTCACCCAAGAGATGCGGGCTTCCGTCAGTTCGTCGGAGCTGATCACGCCAGGCTGGCTTTGCACGTGGCGGAGCTGGCGGTGGATCAGCAACCAGCGACGGCACCATGCCGTAATCCGCAGCAGTCGTTTTAGCGAGGAGTAGCGCAGCAGCAATTTCGATTTGGGCTTCAGCTCGGTAACGGCGGCGACGTGAGTCCGGACTCGTCTCTCTGGGAGGTCCTCCGCTGACATCTCCTCGCTGTTTGTCGTCCAAGGACTGCTCTCCTCTGCCAGCCATGCAGGACCTTGCCACCAGAGCGGGTGGTCAACCAGTTTGCTAGGATAGAGTCCCCGGGAAGCACAGTCCGCTGGGTTCTCCCGACCTGGTACGTGATGCCAGTGGGCGTCCGGGATCAGTGTTTGTATTTCGCTGACCCGGTTGGCTACATAGGTGGCCCATCGAGGGATGCCCACGGATCTAACCGAGCGTGACGGTGGAATCAGACCATATGTGAATAGGTGCCTTGGCTGCTCCGATGATCGATACGGTGTGGGCGACTAGACGAGCCAGAAGAGTGGCGGCCGACAGCTCCAGCCGAGGTAATGATATTTGCTTCAAGGGCGCGACCTTAGTTTTTGCAGTTAAGAGTGCCACCTTAATAAGACCCTTTGTTTTTGTTCTCAGGTATAGCATCGCTGAGTAGGCACGCTTTGAGGCATCGGCGAACCCGTGGATTTCCAGCTGTGAGTCAGTCAAACCTCCCAGCCATCGAGGTACGAGCAAGTTTTCCAAAGCAGGCAGCTCGTTTTGGAATCGCAGCCATCTTCTCTCTTCGTCGCTGGGTAGCGGAGCGTCCCAATCAAGACCTAGCAACCAGGCGGACTGGATGAAGATCTTGGCTAATACCGTTGTTGGGGCCAGCCAGCCGAGAGGATCGAACATTTTCGCCGTCAAAGATAGTACCGACCTTTTGGTGAAGGTCGATAGCGTGGTCAGTTTGGTTGCGAAAGCGAAGCGATCGTCACGTGGTTGCCAGCGTAAACCGAGAGTGGAGTGACTCTCGCCGGGCAGCCACCATCTGGCCTCTCGTCGAAAACGGTCGTCGGGCTCCACTTTGTTCAGTAGTAGCAAGTGGTTTGCCGACCACTTCTTAAGTGAGAAGCCGCCCGCCTTGCAGATATCAATCAGCTGTTGCAGCATGACTTCGGCTTTCTCCATGGTCTCCGCACCGACCAGGATGTCGTCCATGTAGACGTCGCTCAGCATGATGATGGCTCCTTTCGGGTAGCGCTGTCCTTCGTCCTCGGCCAGTTGGCGTAAAGTGTGGATCGCCAGATAAGAAGCACAGGATAGACCGTAAGTAACGGTACCTAGCCAGTCTACTCTTTGATTTCGTCGTTGGCGTTCTCTCTCCACAATAACCTTTGCAGGTTTTGGTCGTCGGGGTGCACCAGAATCTGCCTATACATCTTCTCGATGTCAGTCGCGAAGACGTAGCGATGACGTCGCCAGCGCAGCAGGATGTCGGCTAGCGAAGGAAGCAGATTCGGACCAGTTGCGAGATATTTATTGAGGGAGTCTCCGTTTGGCAAGGAGCTCGAGCCGTTGAAGACGACCCTCAGTTTGGTTGATGTGCTATCCGGACGCAATACCCCGTGATGAGGCAGGTAGCAAGCCCCCGGATGCGATTCAGTTGACGAAGGAGCAGGCCTCATGTGGCGCAGGTTCAAATATTGTTGCATGAATTCCACGTACATGGTTTGAAATTTGCTGTCTCTCAAATTTTTCTCAGTGTGTTGCAGAGCTCGGCGGGCGGCGCGGATTGTTCCTGAGAGGTCCGGCAGAGAGTCAATCGTGGGCAGGCGCACGATATACCGGCCGTCGGCGTTGCGTGATTGGTGCAGGCGATAGTGCTTTTCGCACTCCAGTTCGGCCTTGGAGAAGAGCTGAGACAGCCGGCGAACTTCCTCTTGCTCCCAGAAGCAACGCACCAAACAGGTGAAGTCTTCCGCCACCTGGCAATGGTGGGAGGAAATACGTTGGCCGCGTGCATTCTCATTGATGGTGCCTGAGAGTATCCATCCTAGAGAGGTCTGCTGTGCCACCGGTTCCTGATGACCCCCCTTTTTCAGGCCCTCGCGGATGATTACTCCGTAGACGTCGGCGCCCAGCAGAAGGTCTACTGGATCCGCGGAACTGAATTCTGAATCGGCGAGCTCCAGGTCCTTTAGATGGGTCCAGGATTGCAGACTTCGGCGGCATCCTCCGGCGAAGAGAGTGAGCTTCGGCAAGATCAAGGCGGCGACGGAGTTGGACTGGTCACCGTTGTGCGCTTGAAAGGTAAGCTGAACCTTGCCTTTGGCAACTCCCGTCCTTTTCTCGCCGAGTCCATAGACGCTGACGGCGGCGGGCATGCGAGGCAGTCGCAGTCGCTGAACCAATCGCTCCGATATGATGGACGACTCTGAGCCCTGGTCGATCAGCGCTCGGGCGGAATGCCAGGATCCGTGGCAATCGAGGACGCGGACTCGAGCTGTGGCGAGCAGCACCGTGACAGAGGCAGGGTGCGATCCTTGCGCCAAGTGTGATGTCGTGGCGGTCTTGGCGTTGCAGAAGGCGTCGTGCAGCGAGGAGTGATGCCGACTGCCGCACGTCGTGCAAGTCTTTTTTGATGCGCATTCAGTAAGCTGGTGTCGACCCAGGCAGTTTGAACAGAGATTTTGATCGCTGACAAACTGCCTGCGGGCCAGAGCCGTCTTCTCCTTGTAGTTGCCACAAAACATTATAAAGTGGTCGCCCTGGCAACCTGCGCACCGACTTCTGGACCTATCCTTCGGTTCAGCTTTCTTCACGTGATGGCTCCGTGTTGATTTTGCACTGCTGTGGTTGCGGCTGTCGTTCTTGACTGGAAACAGTGCCTCCAAAGTATGAAGCCGTCGCTCGATGAAGGCTTCCAGCTCGGCGTAGGTAGGCGGGTTAGTCGTATGACTGATGACGCTCTCCCATTCTCGACGAGAACGATTGTCGAGGAGCTCAACGACCAGATGCACAAAGAGGTCCTCCGTGCGATCGATGGGACGATCGATGCTCTTCAGCGAGCTGACTGTTGTTTTTATGTCGTGGAAGAGTCGCCCCGGTTCAACTGCGGATTCGCTTTTCATCTTAGTAAGCGCCAGGAAGTTGTTGAGGTAGTTACGGGTTAACAACCTTTTGTTCTCGTAAAAATTGCTCAGCGTCTTCCAAGCGATTTCGTAATTTTCCTCCGTCGTGTTCAGGTTGCGTATTAGTAGTTCAGCATCACCCTTGACACAGAGTTTGAGATAGTGCAATTTCTCAACAGGTCTGGCTGCCTGGTTCCTGCCAATGATGGACTGGAAGAGGTCTCGGAAGGAAGGCCAGTCTTCGTACTTCCCGGCGAAGGTCGGCGGCTGAATTTTTGGCAATGCGGTCCGAGGAGCGGCGGCCGGTGTCGCTGCCGAAATTGAGCTGGATGTATGCTCTTGTCGTTGGAGAGCGCTCTTCAGATCGAGCATGAGGCCCTTGTTCTGCAGGTAAGCCTCCTCGCCCAACGAAGGGATGTCTTGCTTGGCGTAAACATCATATCGTATTTCGTCCACACGATCGGCTAACGTATCATTAATCGCGTCGAATTTCTCCCACAGCTTCTCGAGATTTTGAAGCCGGGCCTCCACCGCGCCGAGGGTGATATTGGCCTCGCCGAGCTTCCGAAGGTTCTCGTACGCGCGCGAGATCTTGCCGTATAGCACTGTGGCTGTGGCAATGATTGCCTTTGTGTCTGCCATCTCTAACACTGTCTCTTTTTTCCAGAAGCACTGGTCACCGACACTGATTCACTATCGCTTCCGTGGCACCGGATTCAAAGGAGGTTCCTGAGAATCCGGCTCGAAGGACCAAATAATGTGCGCGACGGAAAGCAGGATAGGAAGGTCGGAAGCGAGACGATAGATAGGCACTACACTCGACATACGCGTATCGTTAACAAAAATATATTTCAACTATTAACAAAAAATACAATTGTTTAACCGCACAGAATTTACCAAAAGATAGCCGAGTCGAACGTATTAGAAATAAATGCAATAAACGAGAGAAAAGCCGGGTCGACAATAAATTACTGAATGTCCGCAAGCAACGGTAATTAAACGTGAAAAATGAAAAAGACAAGCGATCTTTTTCGTAAAGTATAAGCACACTCTTGACGCGACAAGCAATCGGAAAAGAGCGCCGGGGTTACGAGAGAGGAGGTTTATATAGGCCTTATTTTCTGGAATATTCGAGAACATTTTTATCACTCTATCTGTAGGTTGAGGGCGAAAGAACATTCGCTGTAATTATTTACGTTCCCGCAATTCGTAGTTTTGTTATTATTGGGAACTAAATTGTATCTCCTCTCGCGCGACCGCGGTGTTTACAATTATATGTGATTTGACGTAAGCGCTTCCTTTTCGCAGGCGCGGGGTATACGTATACCTGTGCGGCCGAGCGCTATTTGAAAATAATATTAATATAAAATTAAGCATGATGCATGTTGCATGTGAATGAAAAGACTGCATGAATTTTAATGTAATAATGTTTTAAGACTTTTCAGCTTTCGTTAGACGTTCGATTTTCGAACACACACCATAAATATAAACCTTATAAATTATATATATAAATATTTAATGCAAATTGATTGATGCACACATACTTTGACTGTCGTTTAAGAAATATTCTGTAAATAGCATTATAGGAATCTTGGAATAATTATGAATATAGGAATCATTTGATTATTCAGAATAATTTAAATTTGTTAGAGAATGTATTTAAATTATTATTAAAAGGTGTACATACATTAATATAATATATTTTGAATTGTTCTTTATTTTGATTGACGGAATTACAAAATAACTAACATAATATAATAGCCTATTTTTAAACATATAATAATCATGTAACATAGTAATTATAAAAATTAATGCATTGCTAACTATGAAACAAATGTTTTCGCCAAAACCAGAAACCTCCTCTAAATAATTATCCCTATGAATTAATAATACACATTTATTATAATACTATTGATAGTCAAGAAAAAACTCTACATATGTAACATTTAATCTTCCAAATAATTTTTATAATTCATTTGTGAGTAATTTTTCAGAACTTCCACATTAAATAATTTTGTATTTTCTAAGTTTTTAAAATAAAAATTCTTATATTAACATGCTGAAATTACAGTAATTAAAAAAAATATCTCAATAATGTAGAGATAATTAATATAGAGATTATCAATTAGATTTTCTCAAGATGGTGAGTTTAAGCACAATACATCGCATATAATATAATAAAAAAAAACTTCTAATCTCTCTTTACATTCTTTATATACTATAATTTTGTGTTTATTATCTACATTAACAAACTAATTATAAAAGCTATTTTCTTCATATGCAGATCTGACAATTAATCTATGTTATTAAAAAGAATATGATAAATGTCCTTTTGAAACAAATTAACGTTAGAAAACGAAATAAACATACAACTTTAAATAATATCACATATATGTATGTCAAAAATGACACAAAAACGTACAAATAAATATAAATTCGTTTTTATTATTATTATAAAAATTACTTACTATAATTACTTAATAAATTAATTGATTTATATTTTAAACATTTTCATATCATTATCATAGCATTTCAATGACACATATTACATAATCATTTTGACATTTTGAGATGTAATGCGTTATAAATTCTAATATGAATATTTCATATATTAGTATGTTACTATATTATATATATATATATATATTTATAATAATTATATTTATTATTATATGTATATAATATATAATTTATTATTTATAATTTAATATATCTAAAATAATTCTTGTTTATTATATAAGAAATTATAATTGGAGTATAGTAAACATCCAATTTTCAAATAATAATATCACATATATACATATATGTACAATATATCATAAATAACAGCTATTATAACAATGTACAAATCAATATATTTTATCATTACTATTGCTAAATGTATTACTCATATTATTATCATTTCGATCATACAGACATGAAAAATTAATATTTATATAAAATATTCATACAAAAATTTTGAAAACAACATACACATAAATTAAATTACCTCCTAAAATTTCATATGGACATTTCGTCAATGATTTAACTGACCAGTTAATATTTCTTTGGTACTTAATATTTAATTAACTACTTAGCAAACTGACATATTTCAAACAAATCGACTTTGTAATTTCCTACTTGTCTGTTTGTTTCGTGCAATTTTTTATAGGCCAGAACGATCTGAAAATTTCTTCGCTGAATTTCATTTCAAAATTTATTAACCACTGAATTTCCACATCAGTAATTTTATTCGCTTTGAATTCAGATGACAGTCCTATATTATTATGTTGGGCTAATCCGCGAACAAATCTTAATAGATGTTCCAATGCGCAAAGCTGACAAGTGCAAGTGGTTTTCGACGATGCACTTTTCCAGTTTATCAAATATTCCAAAAGTATTTCCTCTTGCACGTATGTAAGTAACCTCGGGCCATGTGGATCGTGTCTGTCATATTGGTAATTCTGAAGCCCTCGAAGACGGGCCGTCTTTACTTCAAACCATAACTTGTTAGTACGAACTTTGTAACAATTTGAAACGCTGGCATATGTTAAACCTTTTTCAATAATATCTCTTACTGCACGTTTGATTTTTTGTCTTTTACCATCAAAGTTGCTTTTGCATCTTCTAATTTCTTTTTTTTTGTATAAAATCTGGAACTCGAGTCCATATACGTTTGCCACATAGTCTACAGGTAAATCCTTATGCTCGACTTCTCTAACTGCTAACCCGAGCTTATTTGTTAATGCGAGATGTTCCACTATTTTTGTTCTCAGATCCATTTGATACAGCTAAAGAAATTACCTATGAAAAAAGGAGAAAACGCAAAATATAAATGTATGTTGAGCAATTATGTAAAAGATTCGATATCGCAAGAATATAAAATTGATTTAGCGATTTTTATCTTGAGAAATCTCGATTTTTGTATAACTTGTTTTAAAAAAAAACTATACTTGGAGAAATTGAATAATAAAATTAAAAGTTTTTATAAATAATAGTTAAATTTTTGGCATTATGTATAATAAAGGAAATTTTATTAGAAATAAAAAGTAAAGAGAATTATGATGACAGTGTACTTACAAAATAAAACACTTAGCAAATTTTTCCTCACGCGGCGAAATTGATGGAATGAATATCTCAATCAAATTAATATACAAAAATGACTGAAGTACAGTCAGATACTGACTAAATTCAAGGTTCCAAATGTTGTATTTTAGTAGGAAAATAAATAGAGTTACAAAATTCAAAGTCATTTGCGCCAAGCGACACATTGTGTGCTTTTCCTACATTTTCAAGAAATCTGAATCTTACAAAAATCTCTATATAAAAATAATTAATAATGAATTAATCTTTCAATCTTTCTTATGTGTAATTTATCTAAAATTGGATTTAAGTAAAAATGTATTTAAAATTAAAATAGTAATCGCGCGTTTTAAGATGCAGATAGAAAATTAATTCTATAAATATTCTTTTAAATATTTATTCCACCAATTTTATAAATATATATGTAATCAAATTTGCGGATATACACATATTTCAATTGTCGAATAAAAAAATTCTGTAAATAGTATTAAATTGAAATCATAGACTAATATGAACATGTGTCGTTTGATTATTCAGAGTAATTTTTTGTGATAGAATTCACTTAAATTATTTTCTAAAGGTATATGATTGTTAGTAAATTTCAGACATTTTTTGAAAAAAACTATGTATTTTCTTCAATTGATTTTTCTTATTATTTTGTACATAAATATATTACAAATTATATTACCGAAAAAATTATCTTACAAGATCTTTTACAGTTCATGTGAGATTATGTCAAATGAAAATATTAAATATCTCGCAAATTATTCACTTTTTGGCCATCCGGCTCTTATAACATTTTTGTGGAATATTAGAAAACGATTTATGTAAATAAATAAGATAATTCTGCATAAGAAAATAAATTGTAGAACTTAATTAATTTGCTTAATACGATGAACTAATTTTTACATACTTTATAAGTAAATAAAACATTTAAAACCAGGCATGTGTATTTTTCAAATATAATTTATTTATCTTCACAAATATTAAAAGTTTTATAAAAATTACATTAAAAGTTTATTTATCGTTGCCAAAAAATTTGATTGTTACATAATTAAATTAATTAAGCATTATACATCATATTTATATAAAATATAAGAAACATTTTTACTTAACTGATATATATATATATATATATATATATATATATATATATATATATATATATATAATATACTCATATTAATATAATAAATACTAACCTTATTTAATTAGATTGACGGAATTGAAAAATAACTAACGTAATATAATAGCTTATTATATTGCATATAATAATCGTGTAACATAGTAGTTATAAAATTGAATGTATATTACTAATTATATTAAATAAAAAATTTTGTTAAAAAATCAGAAACATTTTCTAAAATAATTATCCCTATGAATAATACATATTTGTAATAATACTAAATATATATGTATAATATAATTTTTATAATTTATATGTGTGTAATTTCAGAACTTCTGCGACCCTGGATAATATTGTATTTTCTAAGTCTTAAAATAAAAATTCTTATATTAGAATGCTGTAGTTACAATAATTTAAAAAAAAGAATTTGAATAATGTAGAGATAATTAATATAGAGATTATCAATCAGATTTTCTCAATATTGCAAACTCAAGCACAAAACTTTGTATATAATGAAATAAAAAGAACATCATTTAATCTCTCTATTACGTTCTTTATATACTATAATCTATTATCTACAATAACAAATTAATTATAAAAGCTATTTTCCTTAAATGCAGATCTGATAATTAACCTGTGCTAACAAAAAAAAATATAATAAATGAAAAAATTAATATTAGAATGCGATGAGCATATAACTATCAAAAATATAACATATTTGTATGTTCAAAAATGACGCGGCACAAAATGTATATATCAATATCAATACGTTTTTATTATTATTATAACTTTACTGACTATAATTATTTAATAAAATAATTGATTCAATATAAACATTTTCATACCCTTACCATATTATTTCTTTATAAAATATATTATAATATCATTTTGACAGTTCGATGTATGACGTGTTATAAATTCTAATATTATATAAATATTTCATATATTAGTATGTTACCATATTATCATTATTATATACCTACATAAGTATAATTCTCAATGCTCATATTTGTAAACACTGAAATTATCTACATAAAGAAATAATCTTTATTTTCCTCTGCTTTTTCTCCTTTTTTATCAAAATGTTCTAATCGTCAAACAAATAATTGAAGCATTTATTTCATTTCAATAACTATATAAGTCTTCAATTGTTTGAAAAGTATAACAAAGTATAATAAAAAGTATAATAAAATTATTACACATATAAAAGGCTAATAAGAGCAGAAGTAATATTACGGTTATAAAAACTAATTTATTACATTTAATCAATATGTACTGATATAAACAATAAAGTTTAAATTAATCTAAAATTATAAACACGAAAGTTAAAACAAATGAGAAAGCGAACGTTTCGATCCAATTTTTCGGATCTTCTTCAGCGCAGTACAAAAAGCAAAATTGAAATCACAAAAGTCTAAATGTTTTTAACGTATAAACGTCTAATAAACATATTTAAACGCGGTTACATCAGTAAACGAAATAAAATGTCGTAAGATTAACATTAATATGACTCACTGAGCCATCACATTTACGTTACTGTGGGAAGCGATTTTTTCTAGTTTTCTGACTACGAGGTTGGCAGGTGTTAAAATATAAAATATTAATCGCATCCTATAAATTAAAATAATTTTCTCATTACATCTCACTAATTATAGTTCGTCATTTTCTATATGTAAAAAATATCAGACTTGGAGAAAATAAAAAAGTTATGATCTTTCGAAAGTAGAGATTTCAAGCTTTAAAATCTTTTTTTAAAATTTAAATTATAATTTTTTGAAACAAAGTTATACCTATTTAAAATGTGCCTATTTTCAACTATTTTTTTAATCCCTTAATTATTAGGAGTATATATATATATATATATATATTGAATTGAAAGTTTATTCCGAGTTCCCTTAGGATTTCCGGGGCGTTTTAAGGGTGCGCCAAACCCTTTACAACCTCCTTTCTTTCTTCTCTCCATACAATACTATACAATACATTTTTATTTCTATACAAACCCATACAGCACAGATTATTGCAATTATATTGCAGCAACGTTGCAACGTTGCAAGTTGCAATGCAACATTATAAAGACATTGCAGAGATATAAGTGCACAAAATTCCAGCACACTTGTAGCAACATGACATTAATATTTCGGAAATATTGCATGTAATCCAAATTCTATAATTTATATATTGTAATATATATAAATTAACTACAACGTATTTTCATTAATGATTTATTTACATTTATATACCTGTATATGCAACATTAGTTTATGGTTGCAATAACAATGCATTATTGCAAACTCATAACATATTGCAATATTGTTGTAATATTTTGTTACAATCTTCCAAAAAGCGGACATTTTAACATTGCTGCAATTCAACAGCAATGATGTAGCAACATTTTGCAGTGAATTTGCAATATTGCAATATTGCGGTGAAAGATTGTTGTAATGTTTTTGCAATCTATCGGTGCTGTATGGGAATACATCCTTTTCTCTCCTCTCTTTCTTGCCTTCTTCCTTCCTCTTTCCGCTTCTGGACCTCCATCGACAATTAGGCTCTCCTCATCCTTCCTCTTTCTGTCCTCTCCTTTCTCTTGCTCCTCCTTCTCCATCTCCTTCTTTCAGCTTTCTCTGCCTCTGTCCTGGTCCTCCGTCCTCTTTGTCCTGTCTCTCTCATCCACCTTTAACATACAAAACCACCCTTCTCCACCTCCTCTTTATTCTCTTTCCTCCTCTCTTCTAATCTTTCCCTTGCTCTTTCTGCCTTTTCCTTCCCCCCTCACCTTCCCCATTACTATTAATTAATAATTATTACTATTAATTAATAAAAATATATTACTATTAATTAATAAAAAAGTTAATTTTTAAAGACAAATTAACTTTTTTATTTTATTGTAATTTTCCTGGTCGTTTTTCTTAGTTATAACGTCGTTTACAATTCAATTTTAATAGTTTGTAACGTGACGCTTTTGTGCGCGTCCGTCACAAGGACGGTAGCCGACCAGAGAAAAGAAAATCTGGAGTTGCGCTTCTCTAAATCTACCCCTCGCGGGAGCAAAACTCGTTTGGTACATTTCTCCTAGTGTATCTTTTCGTGTTTTGTGTCTGTTATTCCCTTCGAGATCAATAAGTTAATAGAGCTTCCAAGTGAGCGGTTATAGGAAGAAGATGTACCTTAAGAACAAAGAGAATATGTAGGATACTGGTGAGGAAGCAAGCAGAGAGAGCGGCTCATCTATCAGTCGATATGATTTATAACTATCAATTATAAATCATATCGAAATCAAAAAGTGTCATATATGTATATTTGTGTTAAATTTAATTAAAAGTATCAAAAATTATATACAGTAAATTACAGTATAGTATTCAACACATTTTTAAAACATTTTTTCAAGACAATTTTTAATAATTTTTATCTACATAACTAATAAATAAAATTAATTTAATTTATCAGAATCTCAGTTGCACTGAGTATAAATAAATTAATTGATTTTGGATTCTTTAATTTTTATTTGTTCTGATGCTCATTCTCCTCATCCATTTTTTTAATCCTTTGCATACGTTCTCGTGCAATATGTTCCAAACTGTTATAGAAATCCGAATTCTTGGCAAAGAGGCGCTTAAAATCGCGACGATGCAGGCGAAGCAGTTCGCAAACTTCCAGAGCGATGACCGATTCCCTTCTACGTCGATCCGGATGGACCATGGCAGCTTCGCCAAATGATCAGCATCGTATAAATGACATATCTTGAACAACATATCTTATTACTTAATTGTAACTTCAACCAAGAGTTTACTTATTTATTTATTTTTTACATAAATATTTTATACAATATCGAAAGATTGCAGAAACATTGCATAGATCTTACATTGAAACATTGCGATATTGCATATTGGTTGCGAAATATTGCTGCATTATTGCTGCAAGATTGCTGCAACAAGTAAAGATCCGCTTTTTGTCATATTGCAATAAAATATTACAGCAACATTGTAATGTAATATTTATGATAATGAATAGTAAAAACCCATACAGCACCGATAGATTGCAAAAACATTACAACAATCTTTCACCGCAATATTGCAATATTGCAAATTCACTGCAAAATGTTGCTACATCATTGCTGTTGAATTGCAGTAATGTTAAAATGTCCGCTTTTTGGAAGATTGCAACAAAATATTACAACAATATTGCAATGTTATGAATTTGCAATAATACATTGTTATTGCAACCATAAACTATTGTTGCATATACAGGTATATAAATGTAAATAATCATTAATAAAATACGTTGTAGTTAATTTATATATATTACAATATATAAATTATAGAATTTAGATTACATGCAATATTTCCGAAATATTAATGTCATGTTGCTACAAGTGTGCTGGAATTTTGTGCACCTATATCTCTGCAATGTCTTTATAATGTTGCAACTTGCAACATTGCAACGTTGCTGCAATACAATTGCAATAATCTGTGCTGTATGGGAAGTAGCAAACTTTTATTTTATAACATTTATAAGATTTTATGACAAAACAACTTCATTCAATATATAATTATAAGTAATAAAAATTAAATAATAAAATTTAAATAATTTACTTCGAAAAATTAAAAATTTTGTTTTTAAAATAAACATATGTAAATTTTACAATGAACAGATTTTAGACTGAATTAGAACAGAAATATTACATTTGTATGTTTCTATATTATTATAATGTCTCTACAATATGTTACATTGCAATTTGCAAGATTGCAACATTGCTGCAATGTAATTGCAATGTTTCTGTGCTGTATATTTCAATTTCTTACTTCTCTTCCTGAGAATGTGATCAGTACGACGGTCCCGCTGACTATAAAATACATGCAATCACTATCAGTGCCAGCTTTATAAATCACATCTTCTGGAAGATATATCACCGGTTTCATTAAATCTACAACAAATCGATTTATAAAATTATTAATTGTTTAAGTAAGCAATAGGTCAATGAAAAATAATAAAAAATAAACATTATATATAATATACATATATAATAATAATTAATTTTACAACAAAATTTTTCACAAAGGCTATTTAATTTAAAGAAGAATAAAAGATGAAGTTTTTCTGAAGAGTGTTTTTCAAGATCATTTAAAAGTTATTTCTATTTTGTTAAAGAAAATTACTATAATTTTTTTTATATAAATCGATTCTTCGCAATTTTTTATATAAAAAATTATAAGAATAAGATACACAAGAAATTAATAATTTACGAGATATCTAAATTTGACACAAAGATATATAAACTATGAAACATTCTCGTAAAATATTTATTTTGCGACAATCTTACTACAATACTTTTATGTAACAAATAATATAAAAAGAATCAACTAGTGTCAAGAAAACACATGCAATATATACTTGTTGCAAATTATATAAGAAAAATAAAATAATTACTTATTAAATCACCAAGAATATTGCGGGACAAACTATGAAGAATCATGGTGTCTAGTAAACCTTGACTGCTATGAAATAAAATTTCTTGATTTAAATGATCTAGGGTAAACAGAATAAAAAAATATACAACATTAAAAATATTATCTATAAATGTAAACTTATATAAATAGATCGCATGTTTTCATTGCAGGTACAAAGATAATGTTAAAAAAGAAAAATAGAGAGTCAGATGCGTTTATTCGATTCATTCTTTGTTGAATAAAAAAATTACACTTAAATCTCCATTGATCTTTTTTAATATATAGAAGGATTTAGAATATATAGGAAAAAATAGACTTTTATAGTATTCCAACTTTTTTTAGAATCTTAATAAGTATAGGTACAACTAATAATAGTTAGTTTTCTTTTTCAATATACTCTTTATACTTTTTTTTAACTAACTCGAAAGAGTGTCAAATATAACATTCTCCTTGAAGAAACTGCCTTGATAACGATACTCGTAATAAAAGATGAGCTTGTCTTGCAAATATAATGGAAGCTTTTTGTGACGAATATATTCCTTTACTTGACGCATGATCCTTTGATATTTAAGTTCTGGTTCCGCTGACGATTCCAACAATTGCAGAATAGTTACTGTAATCATACCAGCATATTGTGAAAAAATTTTATTAGATTATTTATTTATTAAATCATTATTTGCAAATATTTAATGTATTTTGCTATCTCACATTGATTAATTAATCGTTAGATTTTTTAAAAAGAAATGAGTTTTTATTTTATTAATTTTGTATGTTAACCAAGGAATGTTATAAATATTAATAAAAATAAAATATAATAGCAAAAATTATTAACATTAAAATATAAAATAGTGACAAAACAACTTAATACCAATCAGATAGAATGCATAGGCTTTTCCCAGCAATAAAAGTGTACATCGTATTACATTATCACAACTTCCAAAGGCGTTGAATTCTATAAAATTGGAGCCAATTAAATTACTTACTCCAATATGCACAAATATTAAATATGTTTTCCAACTTGGTTTATTAAAAAGCTCTGTGGTGATATAATACGCATCTGAATCCTAAAATTATTTGCAATATATAAATAAAATATATATTTAAATATAAAACAATTTTATAAGGACTGATTATAAAAAAATTACAAAATATATACTGAATATACTTTCATCAAATTTCCTTGAAAATGCATCATGATGTAAGGAAAGACGTAACTTATGCAGCTACTCCAATGAAAAATTAGTAATGTTAAGATAATGAGCCATATTGTTGTCTCTTGAGCTTGAGAAATACCAAATTTCTAATTAAAAAATAATTAATTTTTAATAATTATAATTATCAATAATTGATATTATTTATTATTAAAATTAAATAAATAATAAAAATAATTATGATATTGATAATAAATTTGCCTTATTTATTTAATAATTTAATTAATTTTAATATAAATAAAATGTTTTTAAATCGGCTAACAGAGCCAAAGCGCGAAAAATTAATTACTCGGAACTGTATCTCGTGGTTTGAGATCACTAAGTTCCATATATAAATTAATCTCGAACTTACATATGGAGAAATAGGCACGAGTAATTAATTTTAAGAGAGCCGAAAAAAAATATTTTTTATCTGATTTAATTAATTTTGTTCATAAAATTCAAATCATCTATGGGAATATTTATATACAGAGTGTCCCAAAAAGATCGGAACACTGAAAAATCTGGAAAAATATACGGTTTACAGAAAAAAAGTTTCAACCAAAAGTTGTAGAGTTTAAAAAATCTATTTATTGATGTTATGAATTTGACCTTGGGTGGCGTTACCAAGGTCAGAATAAGGTTACCTTGAATTTCTTAAATGGAACCTTATATTTGTATTACATATTCTTGTAGCTTACCTCGAGAACTTTTCAAAACACTATAATTAAGTTATTTTTTATAAGGTACTTTTCGAGTTACAAAGCTTGAAAGTTACAGTTCTGAAAGGCTTGCCGTAATTACAATTCTAACAAATTTCAAAAATAAAGACGAATGGAAGAAAGAGTTCGTATATAAAGATGTTGAAGAATACGGAAAAACCTTCACTAATTCAAGAAATCACAACCATGAACAATAATGCATGACGTTTGCGACAAGATTTTTCAGTCATGATAAATAATTAGTTTGTGATATTATACAAAACGTACAACATTCTTGTACATCTAATTCTAATTATGTAGTTCTAACCATATTGTAGAAGTACTTTAAATTTTCAAATTTGACCCCTAAAAACCAATGGGCTTTCATTAGATTTCGTCTTAATAATATCATAATGATTTATTCAGCAACTCATCTTAAACAATATGAGTTCGATTTTCAAATGACCCTTATTAGGAACACGTTGACTCATAACACGACTACACGTCGAAACAGATAAAATTATCGATTTATTCGATTTTTGGAGTAAAAAATAAGATTTTCCATTTAAATAATGCTAATGCGGTTAGGTAGTATAACTTTCAAGTCTTGTAACTTGGAAAGTACCTTATAAAAAATAACTTAATTATAGTGTTTTAAAAAGCTCTTGAGGTAAGCTACAAGAATATGTAATAAAACATATAGGATTTCATTTAAGAAATTCAAGGTAACTTTATTTTGACCTTGGTAACGCCGTTCAAGGTCAAACTGATAAGATCAGTAAATAGATTTTTTTAAACTCTACAACTTTTGTCTGACAATGAAACTTTTTTCTGTAAAACGTATACTTTTCGAGATTTTTCAATGTTCCAATCTTTTTGGGACACCCTGTATACATATACGTGATATATTATATATACATATATATATATAAATATGAATTACTGCATTGATTTGTTGAACATTACGTCGTACTGTAGGAAGGCGAATTATTTTCAAAATAGGCAGAAATTCAACAATAAGCAACGCAAAATTTGAATCCGTGTCAGGTGATAAGATACGTGTTGGATAGAACCACATATAGGGAAGCGTGCTGATAAAATCAATGAAGAAATATCCTTTCAAATAATGTCTGTATAAATATGTATAATTTTCTCATTTTTATACTGAAATCTTTGAGGGAAACGAGATCGATGAAATGGATTAAAGATAAATAATTTATTTATACGTTATTACATATAGCATATAACAATAAATCACCGTGCAATTAAACCAGAATCAAGAATAATCTCATGTCCGTCCGAGGACACAAATCCAGTAATAAAATTAAGAAATATATCGATGATGCAAATGGCGTAACTAGGATAGACAATATTCCAATATTCAGGATCACTACTCTTTCCAATTCTGTAGAAGCATATGATATGTGGAACTATCAAGAAGATATATAGAAAAGTGATAGTCATTATCGTATCCCAGTAGAACCTATATGTAATAATATTTCTTGATAAGAAAAAAATTCTAATGCACTTTTAATTAAATTAAAACTAAGTATCTTTACCTGTCAAAAAAATTCTGATCTAATCCAATCTTAATTTTTAATAGGATTTTTGAGGATTAGGAATTTTTCTTTATTAATTGTTCTTATTGATAAAATTAATAGCTACACTGGCGGTAAACTAGTGCACACTGGTGCAGTGAAAATAATATATATTTTAACTTATTACACTATAGTTGTATTAGTTCACAATAGCAATAGAGAACAAACTCCTAATTAAAAACGGTTTGGTTAGGTTAGAATTTTTTTCCAAGTCAAGGTAGATTAAAAGCCAATTTTTTTAACTTCTTGATAATTAAGTTTTATCCGAGTAGGATATTTTCGTATCCTTTTAGATAAGTTCTAAAAAGAGAAAAGAATGAATAAGCTATATGAATATGCTACGGTATCTGTCGAGTAAAACTTTATCAAGAAGTTTTGGAACAACTGACCCTAAATAAGAGTAAAGAATAGAAAAAATAGCAAAATTTTAAATATATTATCAAGGTTATCACATTTTGAGTAATACAGAAGTTTCAGCAGATCCTTGATAATTGAAAAATATTAACAAAACCTTTATAGAAATTTATCACTAGTAACGCCAATTTATTTCGAGTACTTGAATTACTGTATATTAATATTTTAAGTACTCGAAATAAGTGCCTAATTAGAGTTACTAGTGATAAATTTCTACAAGGGAATAAGTTTAAGAAATGTGCAGGGTAAGAGCTCCATCTTTCTCTCTCTACACCTTCATCCCAAAAAATTCTAATCTACTTTACCTTAACATACTACAAGGGTGAATTACCCATTGATTAGATGATCTTGAATGTCTTCTTTTTTCGAAGGCAACGGCGGCCTGGCTGCGTAAAATTAATCGTGTGAAAGGATGTTGAGCAGAGACGAGAATGAACTTTTGAAGATTTCGTTTCCAACGACTGTAGAATTTTGCGTTTGGAGGTAATTTGGGTAAATTGCTACCAGACGTCCTGGCCAAATCGCATGCGTGCATGCGTAAAGATGCTTGCTTTTTCGAAAAATCTACCGACATGCTGAATACTATACTAATATACGTCAAGGATAAGGACACGAATTGGATATATAGCAAAATATTGCAATTGTGGTGATCTTTTGGAGACAAATTCAAGTTTCAGATAAATATTATCAAATATTACCATAGGAACACGTAGTGCTTTTCTTACTTTTCTATAGAATCTGTGTTTTAAACCTAACAGCCTAAAGCGGGGAGCACACACTTTTCCATAAGATATAATGCGTAAGCATAAGAAATTTAATTGGTCCATAAACGTGTACCACGCATATGCATAAGAAATTCAACCAATCGAATTTCTTATGTTTATGCGTTATGCGTTATGCGTTATGGAAAAGTGTGTGCTCCCCGATTAACACCTAATTTTTAATAATTTAAGAAAAAAAGTTTACTTTTATGTAAAGTCGCCAACATGGAAGAAAAGCTTTTCGATCAATCAACTGATCTTCGCAAATACTTTTCTAAATTCTGTATTGGTAAATTTGTTGATTATTTACTGCTATGTAGAAATTAACCAATTAATATTTTTAATATTATAATGCAAATTATTATTTTAGTAATACATAATATATATATTTTCTTATAAATGTTATGATGTCAATTAATTACAGTACTAAAAATTTTGACAAAAAATTCGAATCGGATGGCTCTGTGCTTTAAAGTACTAATTATTGGTCTAAAAAATGAATATATAAATAATGTCGAGCAAATAGGTAAATATTATATTCAAGTAAAACCGATTAATCTCCAAGATCGTGAATTTCTAGTGCATATGCATTCTTCGATAACTATTGATGACTGCGTTTAACTGAAACAAGACTTATTAGCTCAATGATGAATAATTATTTGTAGTACCTAGAAAAAAAACGAGTATAATTTATAGTTATTTACAAGTATAATTCATAGCGATTTACATATTAAAATACGAAAGATAGTCTATAAATAATGATATAATGTTTATATATATATATACATATATACAGGGTATCCCGTAAAAATCGCCCTTAGCAGGCCAACTAAACGAGGTTTCGACGTACTTGACAAATACTAGATGCATTCCAAACAAATACTTGATTGAATAGACATATTTTAGTCATATAGACACCCAAATATATTCCAGAACCAACATAAAACGTTCTGTTCTTGAATAGGCAGTCTAGATTTTGTCCATCTAGATTTTGTCGAAAAACAAAATGTGTGTAAATTATGTATGGCTAAATTCGGTCCGAGTCATCCAGCACTGGATAAAATTCATCTAAACGTTGTTCAAGACTTGTTCAGAAAATTACTGTCCACACTTTGTACAAAACTGGTTCAGGTTGTCCATTATTTTTCCGCAGAAATTTGTCTAAATATCTAAAACTTGTTCAGAAAACTATTGCCCACACTCTGTACAAAACTGGTTCAGATTGTCCATCATTCTTTAGCAGGAATCTGTCTAGATTTTGTCTAAGATACTTATCCAAAAACATTATCTACACTATTAAAAACTACACAAAATTATCCAACACTTCAAGACAGGAATCTGTCTAAATATAATCTAAAACTTATTCACAAACTATTGTTCACACCCTGTACACAACTGTTATTATCTTGTAATAGTTCCTTCATTTGCCGCTATGCGACGCACTGTCTAGCTCGTATTCAAGTTTAATTACGAGGATTATATAAAGCGCATGCAAAAAGTGGCTATTACGATTAAATATGTTATTATTTTGATCAGTTTAATGTTTCTGATATGATTCCAACATAAGGAATTCAGATGTACATATCTGTATATATTATTCATCTTTTTTATACATTTTAGTTCCTCACTATCTTTCAGCAAAATCTTGATAGTTGTTCGAGATAACCTTAATGATCGATATTATCGAATCTCGATTCAGGGCTGTCGAGCGAGACGCAAAGTGCCGGCGGTAATTGAACCGCGGTTGCCATCTGTTGAATAATTACAAATTAAATATAAATTTTTTGTCTTTCTATTGTAGAAGGAATCGTGTAACAAATTATCTTAGCAACGTTCATAAAAAGTTGTTCATTTTTGGACGTGCGACCGACCGGACGTGTTTCGCATCGCGACAGAATTTTAATTCGAGAAATTCTGTTAAAAGTTTGTAACACGCGTCGTTTCGTTTGTGAATTTAAAAGTGTACTTGGTTTAAAGGCTTTTGTAATAAACATTCAACTGCCTATAAAATCTATCGATTTACTGATAAAAGATTGCTATCTTTTTTTTTTCGAACTGCATTCGTGTTTCATAAACAATAGTTTTGGACGTCTTGACAAATCATATGAGTCTTTCAAGAAATAAATTAATTCTATTTTCTTATTTTTTATTTTAGTACCAAAACAGTGCTAAATACATAATTGGTATTAAAATCAAAAATTAACCCAATAAAATAGAATTGATCAGTTTGATTTCTGAAAAGCTCATATCATTTGTCAGAATATTGTCCAAGTTCTCCAAACTGTGGGTAATGTTTAGAAACCGATTAGACAGATTTCAGACAGATTATTTCATCAATATTTTGGCAACGTAGACAGTTTTTAGACAGTGTATAGATAAATATTAAACAAGAAAGTCTAACAATGAGACTGGTGGACGTGTTTCAATGTCCTGAATGCATCTAAAACAAATCTAAGATTATGTCTACTTTTTGTCTATAGTCCATCTAGTTGGCCCGCGGATCAACTTAAGAGTATTACTTAAGGATAGATTCCTGGTATTATTTGGAAACGATTTTTTCCGTAAATAAAGGATATTTCGCAAACTAAGCCCTGTGGAAATAAAATATTAACTTTGTGGAAGTAAAACCACATGTTCTTCAATTAATTTCAAATAGAGTTTCCTTTAATAGAATTTTTATTTAAGGCTTACTTACAAAAAAAATACATGATGGCCAAAATTCGGAACATACAAAAAGTGATGACCTTTCTCGACATTTTTGCTAAGAAAAAATCGTTTTTTGATCCGGTCTTTACAGGACACTCTATTTATTACTATCATAAATGATTTAATTTATTAATTAAACTATTGATATATATTCAATTTTTTGTATTACCATATATACTCGTATTACTATCATAACACCATGTATTATACATATAGTATATTACTATCATAAATAGTTTGACTTAAAAATTCAACTATTGATATATATGTTTAATTAAATAAACAAATTAAATTTTTAAATTTCTATAAATTATGTTATAAATAATTATATCATAAAAATTATAAATAATTATACTGATGATAAAATAATTTAGTCATAGTATCAAAAAAGTATCAATACGTGAAAAGCAAAAATTTTCTTTAAATTCTTCTAATTACCTTATATATATTTTTTTTCTTTATGTATATATATTATCGGTAAATATATTATCTTTGTTTTTTGATATTTGCTCCATATATTATATTTTTGATATTTGCTCCATATAATATTACTATAATAGTATTATATTAATTATACTATTATAGTAATATTATATGGAGCAAATATCAAAAATATAATATATGGAGCAAATATCAAAAAACAAAGATAATATATTTACCGATAATATATATATATATATATATATATATATATATACCCATACAGCACCGATAGATTGCAAAAACATTACAACAATCTTTCACCGCAATATTGCAATATTGCAAATTCACTGCAAAATGTTGCTACATCATTGCTGTTGAATTGCAGTAATGTTAAAATGTCCGCTTTTTGGAAGATTGCAACAAAATATTACAACAATATTGCAATGTTATAAATTTGCAATAATGCATTGTTATTGCAACCATAAACTAATGTTGCATATACAGGTATATAAATGTAAATAAATCATTAATGAAAATACGTTGTAATTAATTTATATATATAAAGAGTTTATATATATATAAAGAATTTATATATATTACAATATATAAATTATAGAATTTGGATTACATGCAATATTTCCGAAATATTAATGTCATGTTGCTACAAGTGTGCTGGAATTTTGTGCGCCTATATCTCTGCAATGTCTTTATAATGTTGCATTGCAACTTGCAACATTGCAACGTTGCTGCAATATAATTGCAATAATCTGTGCTGTATGGGTATATATGTATATATACATATATATAAATATATTACTAATATTACTGATATTACTAATGTTATTGTATTATACTTACAATAGAGAGTACTTTAAAATTTCGAATTGCAAGTTTATAATATATTAAATTAATTTTATTGTACAAATACTGTGAATATACATATTACGTATATAACTACCACTTTACAAAAAATTATATAATTATATAATTATATTTTTTACTATTATTTTATTATATTTTTATTATTAAAAAATTAATTTATTATACAAAAATTGTGTTATATATTGACCATTATTTATTTATTTGTCTAAATAAGAGACTAGCATAAATATAAAATATTTATATATTATACAAATGACGCCGTTGTATTTTTAAATGTAAAGATCAAAGGTTATTTTTTCCTATAGTAACGTTAGAATAATTTCATATTCATTCATATTTGAATACATTTGTCGCTTCCGCATCTGGCAACTTTTCTATTCTAATAGCAAAATGTACGCGTTGAAATAATGCGGAACACTTATTTGTTGTGAATTCTCTGTGAAGTCATTAATTACTCTCCATTATTACGGCGCGCAAGTGGCAAAACAGACACATGAAACAATTATTCATTGTCAACATTTAACAAATAGAGATCGTCTATTCAGCAGTGCCATATATAAATGTCGAATTGTTGCACTGCAAGGTGCAAACGCTTTCGATACGCAAGAATACAACATGAAGCTAACAATAGTGGTGTGTCTAATCGTGGCTATTCTGGTCTGCGTTATGATCCAGGAATCCGTAAGTATAATCTACATCTAGCTGATAGTCTCTTGTAAAGACCCTATAGGGTCTCTACCCATACAGCACCGAAAGATTGCAGAAACATTGTATAGACCTTAAAATGCAATATTGTGTATTGGTTGCGAAATATTGCTGTATCATTGCTGCAAGATTGCTGCAACGACTAAATGTCCACTTTTTGTAATATTGCAATAAAACATTATAACAACATTGCAATGTAATATTTATGATAATGAATTGTATCCATACAGCATTGAAAGATTGCAGAAACATTGCATAGACCTTACATTGAAACATTGCAATATTGCATAGTGGTTGCGAAATATTGCTGCAAGATTACTGCAACAACTAAATGTCCACTTTTTGTAATACTGTAATGAAACATTACAACAATATTGCAATGTAATATTTGTGATAATAAATATAGTAAAAAGTAGCAAACTTTTATATAATTGATAAGATTTTATGACAAAATAATTTATAATTTAATATAATTAAGTAATAGAAATTAAATAATAAAATTTAAATAATTTACTTTATAAAATTAAACATTTTGTTTTTAAAATAAGTTTATAAGATACAATGAACAGATTTTTATTCATTCGAATTCATCGAATATTTATCTGTCCGTTTCTGAGGAATTAGTTCAGTATGTACTTTAATATCTGGTGTTCGGATCGAATAAAAAAAATAAACTAATGTAAAGATATAGATATGATACTTTTTAGTTTTTATAGCGTTTTTCACTGGGAGAACTAGTGCGCACTGAGTGCACATAAAGGTTCTCGCACAAAATTTTATAATGACATAAGTATAATTAAAAAAATAAAATAATTAATAGTAAAAACTATTATTATCATTATTCTTATTGAACAACAATAATAATAGCTCTTACTATTAATTATTTTACTTTTTTAATTACTTACGTCATTATAAAATTGTGTGCGAAAATCTTGATGAGCATTTAGTGCGCACTAGTTCTTCCAGTGAAAAACGCTATTAGAGTTAATTTCACCAACCTTTATGTAATTCTAACTAAAATTTAAATACAAGATAGAGATAAAGAATCGCATATAGCGGTAGATAAAAGAACTAGCGATTATTTAATAATATATTTATAATCTTTCTGGATTGTTGCATTCTCATGAAATATTACATTTGTATATTCCTGTAATGTCTCTACAATGTCACATTGCAATTTGCAAGATTTTAACATTGCTACAATGTAATTGCAATGTCCTGTGCTGTATGAATAACCTGAGTCCAGCTGATAGTCTCTTGTAGAGATCCTATAATAAGATTTCTAGTCTCTTGTACCTAAGGAACAACGTTGTTCTGTCTGAAGGAACAATCGCCGTTTTGGCGCCATCGTTATAGAGGTCATAGAGGATGCCGCCGTAGATCAACAACAACAACAACTACTACAACAACAACAACTACAACATCGGCATCAGGTAGAAGAAAGCGTGAAATTATGGCTATTCCGCTTTTGTCGACATTGACATAATAAGCACGAAGAAATAAGTTGCAAACTGGTGAAGGGAAGTAATGCTAAAGTGCAGAAATTTTATTATATTGTAATATATATATTATCTGATTATATAGGTTTGCCGCATTAATGAGGCAAATTAATATATTCTGGAATTATAGTCTGTGGAAGAAAATAGACTCTGGAATGAAAATATATTTGAATATATTATGCTTAATGCTTATCATATTTATTGTTACACTATTAATAATTAATTCTAACTGTCATCAAAGTATTAAGATAAAATACTTAATAAGAATGTATTAGATAGATATATCATTATTAATATCGCGGTGAATTTTAAACGGAACATTTATAATAACATCGTAAATCGTGGTATAAATATGTTAAAATAAGCTAAAATAATATAATATTAAATAAGATATGTTATCATACAGCACAGAATATTGCAATTACATTGCAGCAATTTTGCAATCTTGCAAGTTGCAATGTATCATTGTAGAGACATTAGAGGAACATATAAATGTAATATTTCATGAGAATGTTACAGCAACATTCCAGAAAGAATTTTAAAAAATATTATTCACTAATAGCTAGTTCCTTATCATTTACCGCTATACGGTGCGCGATTCTTTACCTCGTATTTAAATTTTAATTAAAATTACATAAAGTTTAGTAAAATTAACTCTTAGACTAAAGGTATCATACCTATATCTTTACATATCAGTTTTTGACTCGATCCCAATGAATTCAGATATTTTGAATATAATTGTACTATAAAACAACACAAGAACGCGCTACGCGCGCGCTAATTTTATATAGTTTCCTCAATTTTATATTAAAAACATTGACATTAAAAGAATTAATAAAATTTAAACCTATAATTAATCTTTGAGAGAAATCAGCTAATAACTGTTAAAAGATATGAACCAAATTTAAATCATATATATTATCCCAGCAAACACAGTATATAAATGTTATATACTTAAGCATGTTACATGTAACGTATATGTTAGTTGTAATTTCCCACTCATAGATGTAACATTTTTAATATTACATATATTACATTGTAGTTATATTGTCATTATATTCCAAGATAGCACTGACTTATCAATACATCAATGTGCTATTTGGTATATAATTACAATATAACTACAATGTAATATATGTTATATTAAAATGTTACATCTATGAGTGGGAAATTACAACTAACATAGATGTTACATGTAACGTACACGTTATATTGCCTGTTATATTCCGTTTTATTATAGCAATGTAACAATTATATATCGGTGTTTGCTGGGATAATTCTAGCATAGTTCCGACCGTAGGTTGCCACTAAATAAATATTTAAACAAAAAAACTCACATTTTCGAATATAGGGGTGACGTGCTGGCCATATTTTGAGCATTTTATTTATTTAAAATAATTCTCGTACAGTCCTGGGCATGTACATTGATTATATCCAAAGAATTCTGTTTATGAAAATATTTAGAAAACTTTTTAGACAATCATTTAATCCGAAAAACTCGAAGCTAACATTAATTATTGCTTTAATGACTGAATGACTAATTATAAAATAAAACAACAAGCTTCAAAATATGGGAAAACGTCAATGAAACAATCCTTAGCTGGATGATAAAAAAATTTAGAGAAACACGTGACACAATATACTTAACATAATGATACGTATGTACTTTAATATCTGAATTAATTGTGTTGGGATCTAATAAAAAAAATTAAACTGATTAAAGATATAGGTATGATACTTTTATAGGCTTAGAGTTAATTTCACCAACCTTTTTATAGAGAAACACGCGCATACACGTACAGTCAGTCCCAGATAACGCCTATAGATATCCTATGGATGTCCTCTGGATATCCAATAAATAAAATCCTACAGACATCCAGTGGTTATTCAGTGAACATTTATGAGACATCAATATTTATTACAATATTTAAATTATATTGTAAATATTCTGCATAACAAAAATAATCATATATGGATATTAAATTTTCATAAAATATATTAATAATAATATCTTAAAACATTCTAGAAATGTCCTGAACCATCCTAGACATTTTCAGATAATACTGAGGATGTCTTGTGCTGTCTGGGTTAAGTTCTGATTTTGCTGACGATTCCAACAGTTACGGGATAGTTACTGTAACCATACGAGCATATTGTAAAAAAGTTTCAATAAATTATTATTTATTTATTAAATCATTATTTGCAAATATGTAATTTTTGTATTTTGCTATCTCACATTAATCTATTAATTAATCGTCAGATTAAAAAAAAATGTAGTTTTAAACCGGCCCTAGCAGTAAGAATGAAGCATACAAAAAAATAGTGAAATTCAAAATATATTATCAATAAGACTATCACACTTTGAGTAATGCAGAAGTTTCAGCAGGCTCTTATTTATTATAAAGTTATTAACAATATAAGTTTAAGAAATTTGCAGGAAGAAGTTCCACCTCTCTCCCTGAACCTTCATTCCACAAAAAAATTCTAATCTACTTTACCTTAACATACTACAAGGATGAATCACCTATTGATTGGATGATCTTGAGTGTCTTCTTTTTTCGAAGGCAACGGCGGCCTGATGCGTAAAATTAATCGTGTGAAAGGATGTTGAGCAGAGACGAGAATAAACTTCTGAAAATTCCGCTTCCAACGACTGTAGAACTTTGCGTTTGGAGGTAATTTGGGTAAATTGCTACCAGACGTCCTGGCCAAATCGCATGCGTGCATGCGTAAAAATGCTTGTCTTCTTGAAAAATCTACCAACATGCTGAATGTTGATACACGTCAAGGACAAGAATTGTATTATATGGCAAAATATAGCGATTGGCGATCTTTTGAAGATAAATTCAAGTTTCAGATAAATATTACCAAACATTACTATAGGAACACGTGTAATGCTTCTAAACCTAATAGTCTAACATTTAATTTTTAATAATTTAGAAAAAAAGTTTACTTTTATGTAAAGTCGCTAATATGGAAGAAAAGCTTTTCGATCAATCAACTGATCTTCGCAAATGCTTTTCTAAATTCTGCATTGGTAAATTTGTTGATTATTTATTGCTACGTAGAAATTAACCAATTAATTTTTTAATATTATAATGCAAATTATTATTTTAGTAATAAATAATATATATATTTTCTTATAAATGTCATGATATTATGTCAATTAATTACAGTACTAAAAATTTTGACAAATATATTATTACGAAAAAAAATACTAAAGTAAAATAGCAATAAGAGCCTGGCACCGTACGTCAGGTGCAAAAAATCCTACATTATGAGACAAAAAATTGTCTCAATTTGCAGACGGACATAGACAAATTAAATGAGAATCTTGTTGATTTAATTAACAGTTTTTTAAAGATATAAAAATTTTGATTTATTTACATTTATAACTTTATTTGTACCAATTTGTGTTTGACCTTTAAAAAGTTTATCAGTAACACTTTTTATTTTAGTCCTTTTAAAAATTTTAACATTTCAAGTTCGCCTTCTGTTTGAGAAGATTCTATAATTTTATTTAAAATAATTCTTCGTGATGTAGTTATGATTATATACTTGACCATGTATATACATTATAAGCTGTGTATATCTGTGTTTTCGGTATCCAACTGTGAGTAATAAAAATTATAGTTATGTATACTTTGATTTTTTGAGTAACTACAGTTATAATTTATTGCTTATATCTCTTAGATTTTTTGATACGATTCTAATGAGTTTCTCATTATAGTGTCTGTTTTTTTTCTGCTCCTGGTTTACCAACTTTGAAGGGATTTAATATCGTTTAGACGCTATAATGACGACAATTAGGAATTTGATTTTAATTACTCTATCAGACCGATAAATTTGTTATGGATTTTGTAATGGAAAAATTGTCTTGGCGTAGATATAAACCTTTATTTTCAATCTTTTAATTTGTGTTTTTTATGCGTGATATTTTAGACTTTATAGCGCTGAAGATGGCCCTAAGAGGGGTCCGAAACGCCCGCGATTATTGTTGAGATTATTTGTTAAACATTTGTTTACTTGTATGAAGAATAAATTTTGCGATGAACACTTTAAATTTGTTATTGTTAGATTTTTTGCACCTGACGTACGGTACCAGGCTCCTATTGTCATTTACCTTACTAATTTTTTTTATTTTAAAAGCCATTTATAGCAATTTATTTTTATATTATTACAACTTATAATCTATACACTGTGTAAAAAAATATTCAAACGAAGTATTGTAACAAATAAAAAAACTCATCGAAGAAAATGTATTATTTATGTCCTTTTTTATTCTATACCTACTCAGATGATTCGAATCGAAAGGCTCTGTGCTTTAAAGAAGTACTAATTATTGGTCTAAAAGATGAATGTATGAATAATGTCGAGCAAATAGGTAAATATTATATTCAAGTGGAACCGATCGGTCCTCAAGATCGTGAATTTTTGGTGCATATGCATTCTTTGATAACTCTTGATGACAGTTTAACTGAAACAAGACTTATCAGCTCGATGATGGATAATTTGCAGTGCCTAGAAGAAAAACATAACGAGTATAATTTCAAGTTATTTACGAGTATAATTCATAGCGATTTACATATTAAAATGCGAAAGATAGTCCATAAATAATGGCAATGTTTTTATATTATATATATATATATATATAGGGTATCCCGTAAAAACCGGATCAATTTAAAGGTATTGCTTAAAGATACGCTTAAATAGATTCCTAGTATTATTTGGAGACGATTTTTTTTCGTCAGCAAAAATATTGAGACACCAATAATTTTAGAGTTATAAGCGATTGAAAATAAAGAATTTCACTCAAATTAAGCTTTGTGAAAATAAAATATTATAACTTTGTGGAAATAAAACCACATATTTTTCAATTAATTTCAAATAGAATTTACTTTAATAGAATTTTAATTTAAGGTTTAGTTACAAAAAAATACATAATGGCAAAAATTCAAAACATGCAAAAAATGATGACCTCTCGACATTTTTGTTGAGGAAAAATCGTCTTTAAATAATTCCAGGAATTTATCCTTAAGCGCGTTGATACGGTCTTTACGGGACACCCTATATATTACTATCATGAATGATTTAAGTTATTAATTCAACTATATTGATATTGTTTAATAAAATGAACAAATTAAATTTTTTAATGTGTAAGACAGGCAATAAGAGCCAATCGCGGAAAGCAGTGCGTTATTCCAACGAAACTAAATTTTTTCGTTAGAATTAAATATCTGTGCACAAGGCACCAAATTTTACTTGGTCATGGCCAAGATTTTAAAATATTAAATAATCTTAATTTGAGATTTGATTTCAATAACCGTTCAGCCCCCTAACGGAAATAAATAAATAAATGCAAGAGAAAAAATTAAATCTCAAATATGAGATTATTTCATATTTTAAAATCTTGGTCGTGATCAAGTAAAATTTGGTGCCTTGTGCACAGATATATTTAATTCTAACGAAAAAATTTAGTTTTGTTGGGATAACGCATTGTCTTCCGCGATTGGCTCTTATTGCCTGTCTTACACTTTAAAATTAAATTTTTTATATTTCTATAAATTATATTTTGTAAATAATTATCTGATAATAAAATAATTTAGTCTTAGTGTCAAAAGAAGTATCAATACATGAAAAGCAAAAATTTTCTTTAAAGTCTACTAAATAACTTATACAATATTTTTTTCTTTATGTATACAGGTATATCATCGATAGATATTATCTTTGTTTCTTCATATATTTGCTCTATATCCCAGATAACAATTTTACGTGTAAAATTTGCGCGTCTTATGCAAATAAACTGTGTACAAGATTTGCCTGAGTTTTGCATGTGGGATATGTTTAGTTGTACATATTGTACGCAAATAGTTAGCTTATGTATTAATTTGATACACCAGCAAATTACATGCAAATGGATATCAAATTGCCAAAAATATGCCAGTGATGTGATAGTGACAGCAATATGCTTGTTGAATATGCTCATCTTGCATGCTTGTAACAAGATCGTGCGCAAAGTGCATTTACTATCATGACGACGCACTAGGATAAGGTTTTGCTTGCGCAGTATGAGCTGCTTTTGTATGCAATGACTAAGTATTTGCGCGCAAAATGTTTTCTGGGATATTACTAATATGCCAAAAATATACTATAAGTAGGTATACTAGGGGGGATTCTAACGCAGGTTCTCTGAGGGAAATTGAGATTTTTGGTGCAAATATAAAAGACGCGGACATTCGACAACTTTGTACTCTCGCGGAAAAATCCACCATAAACGAGAAAGAGAAACATCTTCCTTAATTGCGACACATCGGCGTTAACTTTCGGCTGCTCGATTTTCCGCGAGGGTACAAAGCTGCCGAACGTCTGCGCTTTTACATTTGCACCACCTATAAATAACGTTCGACAGTTGGTCGCAGCGTTAGCCCTAAAATCTCAATTCTCTTTCACATATCCTAATGATAAAATGCCCATAAAATGAGAAACAAAGGTTTTTTATGGATTTTAGAGCGCTCTCGATTACAAATTCGAGCAGCCGAACGTTGACGCCGATGTGTCGCAATTAAGGAAGATGTTTCTCTCTCTCGTTTATGGCGGATTTTTCCGCAAGAGTACAAAGTTGCCGAATGTCCGCGCTTTTACGTTTGCACCACCTATAAATAACATTTGACAGTTCGTCGCAGCGTCAGTCCTAAAAATCTCAATTCTCTTCCACTAATGATAAAATGTCCATAAAATGAGTTTTATGAATTTTAAAATGCTTCCAATTACAAATTTCGGCCTATCGCAAATAATACGAAAAAATTCTTGATATACCAATAATATATTATTGAAAAACTATTATTATATCAGTAATTTTTTTGTATTTTGTAGTTTTTTTCAGTGCGGGTTAAATCTGTGTCAACATCTAAAAATTTTTCTAAAATACAAGTTTTTAAACAGTAACGGATTTACATTTAATGTACTCCCGTTTGAATTTTACAATTTACCCAACTTGAAAAGCATATATTTTATGTAAAAAATTCTCAGCTTTCTGAAAAAAATATCAAATTCAACTGGAAAATTTGGACAATAACGAAAAAATGAGTTTCACTTTAATCGCAATTTTAATAGCATTCCAATATTGTAAATGGAAAATGAATATTTTTATGGAAAAACTACGATTTTTTAACGCAAAAAAAAACACTATTTTGTATTATTCGGTCAATTTAGAAACATAACAAAATCAATAAAAGTAAAAAAATAAAAATTGAAAATTGATAAAATTTTCCATATTATCGTGGGAAAACTAATTACTCAAAAAATTTGAAATTTGCACGGGTTTTTTTTTCGATATCAATAACAAACTTACGGAGTTTTAAGAAGATCGACGACAGTAATGCCCAAAATAATTTTTATTATGATGGAATGACCCATATACAACGCTATTGCATTTTTAAATATGAAGATCAATAAGGCTATTATTTCCTATTAACGTCAGAACAATTCATATTTGAATATACAAGACGTCGCTTCCGCATCTGGCAACTTTTATGTTAATAGTAAAATGTACACGTTGAAAAAATGCGGAACACTTTGGTATGAACTCTCTGAAGTCATTAATTACTCTCCATTATTACGGCGCGGAAGTAGCGAAACAGATACGTGTGGCAATTATTCATTGTCAACATTTAACAAATAGAGATCGTTATTCGATAGTGCGGTATATACATATATAAATCTCACATTGTTGCACTGCAAGGTGCAAAAGCTTTCGATACGGAAGTAAAACAACATGAAGCTAACATTGGTGGTGTGTCTAATCGTGGCTATCCTGGTCTGCGTTATGATCCAGGAATCCGTAAGTATAACCTACATCTAGCTGATAGTCTCTTGTAAAGACCTTATAATCTCTAAAAACTCACCTTTAAAAAAAGGTAAAAAAAGGCGACCAGTTAAGGGCACGCCATTAACAAAAATTATCCATTGCAAACCCATGTAGAATCGTACCCATTGCAAACCTATGTAGAATCCTATGAAAAATTAAACATTGCAAACTCATGTAGAATCCTATGAAAAATTAACCATTGCAAACCCATGTAGAATTGTATTAAAAATTATCCATTGCAAACTTATGTAGAATCCTACATTGCAAACCCATGTACAATAGAATTGTATGAAAAATTATCGATTATAAACCCATGTACAATCGTAACAAAAGTAATGAAATAAAAAAAAATTGCGCCAAGTGAAAGTAGAAACTTGTACCAGTGGAAAATTAAAGTTGCAGACATATATAGAGTCGTATAATGAATCAGTAAAAATTTAAATTTGCAAATGTAGAATCGTACCATAAAAAAACTTATCTTTTAAAAAAAAAGATAAACAAGATGCCAAGTCCATGCGCCATGTGAAAAAGAAATAAAAAAATTTTAGTTAAAAAAACTGGGCGCGCTGCTAAGTTTCAAAATTACAATGCACCTTAAAGTAACATTAATTAATTTAAACACAAAACATATTTTAACTGTAATGAGTTTAAAAGTAACAATTTAATTTTAATATTGTTAGAATATTATTTAGCAGCGCTCCCAGTTTTTTTAACTAAATTTTTTTATTTCTTTTTCACATGGCGCATGGACTTGGCATCTTGTTTATCTTTTTTTTTAAAAGATAAGTTTTTTTATGGTACGATTCTACATTTGCAAATTTAAATTTTTACTGATTCATTATACGACTCTATATATGTCTGCAACTTTAATTTTCCACTGGTACAAGTTTCTACTTTCACTTGGCGCAATTTTTTTTTTATTTCATTACTTTTGTTACGATTGTACATGGGTTTATAATCGATAATTTTTCATACAATTCTATTGTACATGGGTTTGCAATGTAGGATTCTACATAAGTTTGCAATGGATAATTTTTAATACAATTCTACATGGGTTTGCAATGGTTAATTTTTCATAGGATTCTACATGAGTTTGCAATGTTTAATTTTTCATAGGATTCTACATGGTTTGCAATGGGTACGATTCTACATGGGTTTGCAATGGATAATTTTTGTTAATGGCGTGCCCTTAACTGGTCGCCTTTTTTTACCTTTTTTAAAGGTGAGTTTTTAGAGATTATATCATTCATTTTTGTATATTTTTATGACCGGAATAGAACAATTATTAAACATGTTTATCTAAACTTCTTTGCTTAAAATGATGTGTACAATCATATCCTAGAATCCTGATCATTCCTCCTAAAGCACCCTATTTATATAAATTTACCCATATGTGTGTGTGTGTGTGTGTGTGTGTGTGTGTGTACTAATGTCGAGCATTTTTTATACATTTTCTATTAAATTTAGATAAAAGTTGCAGGATTTCGAAAAAGAAAAAGTTGACACAGACTTTTTCCTAAACGGCGATTTTCAAGGTTATTTAAAGGTCACTTATATTTTCAAAATAGAATTACCTTAATTTTTCTCATATAAATCGATTCCTCGCAATATTTACTATAAAAAGTTGTAAAGGTATAATTTTTACATAATCTTACATAAACTTCGAAATATTACAAATATTTTATTTTATGAAATATTTCAGTTTATGTAAAATTATGTTAACTATCTTTTAAATTATTCACTTTTAGCCATCTTACCCTTACAACCTTTTATAGTGAATATTGCAACAAATTGGTTTATATATATAATATATATATAACATCAGTTATTATTAATTGATGTTTACATTTATTTTTAGACTTACTAGAGCTCAAATGCTCCACATTTTTTGCAAAAACTGTTTATTCTACAGATTTCAAATATGCTTTTAAATGATGATTGAATATTTCCTTTTTTTAATTATTTTTATTATTATTTTTCAATCTCAATCAACTTTTATAACTTTATGCCAGCACGATACAAATACATGTGTCTTTATTTTTTTTATTATTTTCATTATTATTTTTCAATCTCAATCAACTTCTATAACCTTATGCCAGCAGGATACAAATACATGTATGTCTTTATTATTGTATCAACTCTTGTCTTTTCCATGTAACCATGTCTTCATAGTTTGAATTATCCCTTCATCTTCTCAATCTTTCGCAGAGATTTAATTAATTAAATACACTTCACACGAAATAAAGTTTGCTGGAAGATATACAGCAAACGATAACTGTAAAAACATGATTACGTGGAAAGAACAAGAGTTGGTACAGTAAAGGCAAGTAAGTAAGTACATGTAATGTATCGTATTGGCATAACGCTATATCCGCGGAGCAGATAATGTGGCTGTAGAGGTAGTCTGCAGTGCAGCTAATGTGGACGTAGATGTTGATTGAGATAATTGTCTAATATAAAATAGAATTTAAAAATTTAGTTTAAAAAGCTGTTGCATATATAAATAAAGTTTATTTTTTCTAAATTTGGAATATGTTTAATTAATTAATTTTTTAAGTCTATGTTTAATAAATTTTTTAAGTCTGTATTCAATAATTTTATTCATTTGATAAATACATGTATGTCTTTATTTTGATATGTTTAATATAATTAGAAATTCATTATTAATTAGATATGTAAACTATAAATTCATATATAATATTTGAAAATATATGTGAATATTTAAATTTTTATCTTCTCCTTCCTCTCCTTCAATCTCTTTAATATCAATATGTGTATGTGTGTACACGCGCGCACATTTGTACGTATTTATTTAATTATTGGATAGTTGAGAGTACTTAATTGATAAAAAATTATGACAATAATAATCCTTTTGTTTTTTTTTCTTATTATTTACTCAGATTTTTTTGTCTATCTTATAAGATAAACACTTTAGAGATTGAATATTTCAAGTAAACTAATTGTAAGTAAATTTCACATTAATGCATATAGATGTTTAATCATGAATGTACTAAATAAGTACACAAGACGAACAGTGAGTGAGTGAGTGAGAAGAGAGTGTGTGTGAGAGAGAGAGAGAGAGAGAGAGAGAGAGAGAGTTAGCCAACATAACCCCGCACGCTGCCGATATGGCGGAGCGCCACTATCGCCATCTGTTGTAAAACGTGCGAGATGGACAAAATTACCACTACATGCATCTTGCATGTGTTGTGTACGTGTGATATATGTGTGCGCATGTGTTGTATACGTGTGAATACGTGTAACACGATACTACTATGTATGCGTGGTCGATGATGATAATGATGATAATGATGACGGGGACGTTTCTTAATAGAAATTTTTCATATTTCGACTTTGCATTTATATATCTCTGCTTACAAATCACGTAGAGCAGAAATAAAGACACTTTTATTATATAATTCGAACTCAATCTATCGATTAAGTCTAGTATAAACTCGATTGCTTCAGCCATTATTGAGGATTCGAAATATTATAAAGACTCAAATGTCCGACTCGCGTTAAGATACACGGTGTCTCCGCTACGCCCTTAACTGGTCGCGAGACACTACCGTGTCTCTTGATAGGGTCTTTACCCATACAGCACCGAAAGATTGCAGAAACATTGCATAGACCTTAAAATGCAATATTGTGTATTGGTTGCGAAATATTGCTGTATCATTGCTGCAAGATTGCTGCAACGACTAAATGTCCACTTTTTGTAATATTGCAATAAAACATTACAGCAACATTGCAATGTAATATTTATGATAATGAATAGTATCCATACAGCATCGAAAGATTGCAGAAACATTGCATAGACCTTACATTGAAACATTGCAATATTGCATAGTGGTTGTGAAATATTGCTGCAAGATTACTGCAACAACTAAATGTCCACTTTTTGTAATACTGTAATGAAACATTACAGTAATATTGCAATGTAATATTTGTGATAATGAATATTGTAAAAAGTAGCAAACTTTTGTTTTATATAATTGATAAGATTTTATGACAAAACAACAATTTTATGGCAAAACAACACTTGTTCAATATAATTAAGTAATACAAATTAAATAATAAAATTTAAATAATTTATTTCATAAAATTTAAAATTTAGTTTTTAAAATAAGTTTATAAAGTGCAATGAATAGATTTTCATTCATTCGAGTTCTTCGCATATTTATCTGTCCGATTTTTGAGGAATTAGTTCAGTATATGTACTTTAATATCTGAATTCTTTGTGTTGAATCTGAATTCTGGGATCAAGTCAAACAATTAAATAATATAATATAAAGATATAGGTATAAAACTTTTCAATAATATAATATAAAGATATAGGTATAAAACTTTTCATAGTCTTAGAGTTAATTTACCAATCTTTATGTAATTCTAAGTAAAATTTAAATATGAAATAGAAAGAATCGGGCATCCGCATAACGGTAGATGAAGAAACTAGCGATTATTAAATAATATTTTTATAATCTTTCTGGAATGTTGTGTTCTCATGAAATATTATATTTGTATGTTTCTGTAATGTCTCTACAATGTTACATTGCAATTTCAAAATTGCAACATTGCTGCAATGTAATTGCAATGTTCTCTGCTGTAACCTGAATCAGCTTATAGTCTCTTGTAGAGACCCTATAGAGTCTCTAGTCTCTTGTATCGAAGAAAAAACGTTGTTCTGTCTGAAGGAATCGCGTCGGCATCATCACCACGATCCTCATGGACATGGCGGTCATGGATGCGGAAATAGAACAACAACTGCTACAACACAGACAACGACAGCTGCAACACGGTCAAGAAACTCAATCGCAGAAGGTAGAAGGAAGCGTGAAATTATGGATACTCCGCTTTTGTTAGCATTGAATAAGGAACATATATTGCAATGGCCTCGTCGCCAACATCATGGACATCATGGACATCATGGACATCATGGTCATGGCAATAAAACAACTACTACTACTGCTGCTACTACTACTACTGCTGCTACTACTACTACTGCTGCTGCTACTACTTCTACACAGGCAACAAACTCAAACTAAATGTAACACAGCCAACAAACTCAATTACAGCATAGAAAGAAACGTGAAATTATGCCTGCTCCGCTTTCGTCAGCATTAACATAATAAGCACGAGGAAACAGGAATCAAGTCCCCAAACTGGTGAAGGATAAAGCAATGCTAAAGTGCAGAAATTTTATTGTAATATATACTATATGTTATGGGTTTGCCGAATTAAAGAGGCAAATTAATATATTCTGGAATTATAGTGTGTGAAAAAAATAGTCTCTGTAATGAAAATATATTAGAATATATATATTATGCTTAACGTTTATCGTATTTATTATTGTTACACATACATAATTCTGTCATCAAAATATTAAGATAAAACTTAATAAAGATGTATCGAATAGATATGTATATCATTAATAATTTTTAACGGAACATTTCTAATACACCGTAAATCATGGTATAAATATGTTAAAATAAGATATAAGAATATATGTTTTGAATAATATGTTCCCAAGGAACACACTAAACTCAAAAAAAGTCAAAATGATTTTATTTTGATTCAAAATAGTTATGATTTTTCATATGACGTAAATTTGATTGTCATGATATCATCACATATGCTGTTCAGTGACGAAAAAAATGATCGATTTTACGCTGACCCTGCAAATTTCATGTTTTATTGGATAAATGTGTTATATTTTTAATCTTCTTATAATAATTGTAAAAAAGAAAATTCGTATAGAACCGCGGAGCACAGACAATTACATAATGTAAATAATCATCAATCAGAATCCTCCATTTTCTAAATCTTCAGGATTTTCATCTGAAGATAGAAATGAAGGATTCTAATTAGTTGACTTATGCATTATGCAAAAGTCTGTGCTCCGGCTATTAGAGTCCGCTTTGGTTCCTATATTACTACAATAGGATGTCTTTTGATGTTTTCTTGACGTCAACAAATCGTCAAATTTTGAAAACCAAAAATCATCATATTGACTTCCTATCGTGACATATAATTATGACGTCAAAATTATGTCATTTTGACTACGTTGTATTCCTTTGGGTTATAATACATTTATACTGGATTAATATTTTTGACAGTTTTTATCAGTTGATTTTTGTCAAAATATATTAATCGAGGATAAGGTATTTTATAACATATATTATTAAATCAATATTTTTAATTATATTATTATTTCAATATTATTATTATTATATTTAATCGAGTTGAATCGAGTTAAAAATATTAAAACATATATATTATTTACAACATTTTTATTTCAATTTAAAGTGTAAGAACGGCAATAAGAGCCAATCGCGGAAGACAGTGCGTTATCCCAACGAAACTAAAATTTTGGTTAGAATTAAATATCTGTGCACAAGGCACCAAATTTTACTTGGTCACGGCCAAGATTTTAAAATATGAAATAATCTCATATTTGTGATTTAATTTCAATAATCCTTTAACCCCCTACGGAAATAAATAAATAAATGCAAGAGAAAAATATAGATCCGACAGTCGCTGAATCGGGAATCGAACCCGAGACCTTTTGCTGCGGGCGACTGCTCTTCCAACTGAACTATTCAGATCCTTTCGATTCTATTACTTTTCTCTGCTATATATATAATAATGTTGATAAACAAACGTCTTTAAGCCAAGCGTGTGTATAAGTTAAGAGTTTAACACGGCTCTGTAAATATAAATTTAAAGTGTAAGAACGGCAATAAGAGCCAATCACGGAAGACAGTGCGTTATCCCAACAAAACTAAAATTTTTCGTTAGAATTAAATATCTGTGCACAAGGCACCAAATTTTATTTGATCACGGCCAAGATTTTAAAATATGAAATAATCTCATATTTGAGATTTAATTTCAATAATCCTTTAACCCCCCTACGAAAATTTTTATTTTAATATTTATATGTACATTTTATTCTAGATATCATTATAAATCATTTGCAGATATTATTTTAGGTCTCGTCGATCTCGACAACATTACTCCTATACACATATACATTCCCGCACAGCACGTAATATTGCTGCAATATTGTAGTAATATTGCAATATTGCAGTAATATTATGTAGTAATATTGCAATAATGTTGCAGTGATATTGCTGCAATATATTATGTCCGCGAAAATCCATCACATTAATATTTCAGCAATATCATAGTAATATTTCAGTGATGTCACAGTAATATTTCATTGATATCGTAGTAATATTGTTGCGAGAGTGCAATAATAGTTATAAATGTCACTGCAATATTTCAGCAATATCACAGTAGTATTTCAGTGACACCGATTACAGCACTGTAATATTGCGGAAATATTTCTACAATATTACTTCCAAGGAGACCGTCGCAATTCGCCAATTACCAATAAAAGTTTATACATGTATTCTAGATTTGACGAGCCTAATAACGAATAAGGTATAAATCTTTAGAATCGGTGATTGGCGAGTTGCAACAGTCTCCTTGTTAGTGTAGGTTTTTATAGCCTTATGTGTAATATGGACATAAAATAAATTTATTAAAAATCGACATCTGTTTATTATTTTTTTTATTAGATAATTATAAGTTATTATATAAAAGTTATTATATTGTATAAGTAATTATATAAAAGTAAAGTAGTTATTTAAAAAGTAAAGTAGTTATTTAAAAAGTAAAGTAGTTATTATGAAATTTTTAATTTTTAATATATTATAAAATATATTATTATATTATTAATAAAATATTATTATATTATTATATATTATTACTCTCCTCGGCGTTCTGCTTCTCCTGTTTACATCTAAAAAGAAAAAAATCAAATGTATAATATAAATAATATAAAGTAAAGTAGGGGGAACATTTTACATCAAATATAATTTATTCTTTTTATAGTTTTAATATAGTATTTTTATAGTCTTTACTTAATTGGTTGAAAATAATGAAAAAATATGATAATAAAGAAATTATTTTTAAATGCTCTTTGGAGATGATAACGAACAAAACTAATAATGGTAAATTTAATTTGAAGTGGCTCTCTTATATACAACAAATTATACAAATTTAATTAAAAATTGTATGTAATTAAATTAATTATATTACTTTTTTCGTGCTAAGCGTACAGGTCCATTAGCTAGCCACTTTCCAATTGTTTTACATGTGTATAACATATTGTCACTAATAATTTTTTACTTTTCCAGATTTTCTATACCATTACCCTGAGAGAACACAAAGGTTTCTATAATATTACATTTGCAGATACGTTATGAGACTGCAAAAATTTATAATCTTGATAATTTATTTTGTTTTATTTATCTTATTACACTCTTGAAAATTATAAGTTTACAATTTTTATAACAGCTGTCTGACTCAAAAGAACTCATCATTTCAGAAAACGCGATAGGAATTCTTAACAGTTGTCAAATTTTCTATAGGTTTTACATAGGTAATTCAAAAACTTAATCCTACAGTTTGAAATTTTTCTGGATGATAGTTGAAGTTGATAACATGAGAACCTACTGAAACATCAACAAAACACCGATGACGAATTATGATAATTTTTATACAATAAAAAGTAAAATGATGCGCATGACTTTAATCATTATAATTTTATAAATAACTTGTGTATCTAGTTTCTCCAATTAAAAAAATTTTTAATAGAATATATTTAAATATTTATGCATATATATTTTATTCTTTACTGCTTCAATCGATTGATGAATATTGTTAATGTTTTTGGACGTTTCATGCAATCGACATTAACTATATAATGTACAGAAAAGTCTGAACAAAATAGAATTAGGTTCTGCATTATTTACTTAAAGCCTATATAAAGATTGACAATTGTAAAAAATTTTATCCAGTTTTGTGAAATGACGAGTTCTCTTGGATGCACATCAGACATATCACAAAAATTGTAAACTTACATAATACATAATATCTTTAGTAGTGCAGTAAAAGATGAATAAAAAGAATTAATTACAAGGTTAAAAATTTTTCAATCTTATTTTAACGTGTCTGCAATGTTGCAAATGTAAACATTATAGAAAGAACCTTTCTGTAATCAGGGTGGTAATGGTGTGGAAAATCTGGAAAAGTGGAAAACATATTAATGACAATATGTTAATTATATACATGTAAAGTAAAAAATGTTCCAGGCTGTCACCAAAATTTTAAACTATTACACAAGATTAAAAATTTTTCACACTTTTTTCCCGTAAGCATTAAATAAATCATTTAGAAGCTAATTCTAGTTATTAAATAAATTTTTAAGTAATACAATTATTCATAAATGATTAAAGGATGTCTTGCGCATTGTGTTCGTTAATTGTGAAATATAAATTGGCTGCAGAAAAATGTCACACATAAAAAAGACTGAGAGTTTCAATAAATGTACCTTAAAGGTACATATATTAAATAATATACGTATATAGATAATAGATCTCATAATAATTTACCAATAACATATATAAAATAGATCATTTTTATATATTATATATAATAATTCTCACATAATTTTGAGACTGAAAATCCATGTGTGGTATTTCTATGATATATGAGAAACCTATTCCACATTAAATTTTATTTCGTCACTCTATTATAACATTTACATATAAAATATATTGTATATATCAACGCAATCTGATATGCTATACCTGGAAAATGAGTTCATTAATTATTTCAGAAACTGCATATTCAGAATGTAAAAAAAAAACGAAGAATATAAACACGACAAAAATCATAACAAAAATTTCGAATCTTTCCATTATTCTCATTCCTTTTATATATATAATATACATCATGACAATAAAGAGGAACATAAATATATTATCAAGAGACACGGTAGTGTCTCGCGACCAGTTAAGGGCGTAGCGGAGACACCGTGTATCTTAACGCGAGTCGGACATTTGAGTCTTTATAATATTTCGAATCCTCAATAATGGCTGAAGCAATCGAGTTTATACTAGACTTAATCGATAGATTGAGTTTGAATTATATAATAAAAGTCTTATTTCTGCTCTACGTGATTTGTAAGCAGAGATATATAAATGCAAAGTCGAAAATATGAAAAATTTCTATTAAGAAACGTCCCCGTCATCATTATCATCATTATCATCATTATCATCATCTTATCATCATCGACCACGCATACATAGTAGTATCGTGCTACACGTATTCACACGTATACAAACACATGCGCACACATATATCACACGTACACAAACATGCAAGATGCATGTAGTAGTAATTTTGTCCATCTCGCACGTTTACAACAGATGG